GAGGAAATTGACACTCCTAACTGCGACCTCGAACAAAACCCTAGATTGTAATATTCCTTTTATTGAGTTGGTGATCTTGTAAGGGAATTTGAAAAGAAGCTTTGCCCTTATATACTCTTGAATTTCTCTCTGCCCAAATGTGGTAGACATATGACGCTGGTACCATCTTTGTCATTGAGTTCCCAAACTTTTTGGCTTTCCAATGGTGAGAGGACCATGAGACAAAACTACTAAAATAAGAGGGGCACTTCATAAGGAATCTGCACTTGTGTTGGATATAGTTTAAAATTGGCTCGGAGAAAAGGACATTTAAGAAGCAAATGATAGTGGTTCTCTCGTTCAGACATTGTGGTGGATGTGGATGATGCCACCTTTGTTCATTGTGGACAATTTATTTTGGATAAAATTCTAGAATATTTGGGGTACCGCACCCCCGGGTCTCTCAGTGGTTGAATGGGTGGAGGAATGTTAGCTAATCCAGGGATTGAGCTAACCAGAGATGAAGGGAATGATCAGGAAGAATCAGTAATGAAAGCATTAGCAAGTGTTTTTGAAGGGGATGAAATGAGAATAGCCCAGCTGATATAAGCACTCTTCTCTAAGGAGGATCCATATCGGGTTTTCGAGCCTGAAGTCATGAGTGTGTATTTACTTAACCTTTTAAAAAATAAAAAATAAAAAAAGTGTTTCTGAGGGGATATCGTGGAAAGGATGAAACCATTCTTGGATATAATGGACCAACAGGAACCAGTAATGACAAAAGTTACAAGAACAGCTATTTTCCACTTTAATCATCAACAAAGGCCTGACAACATCATGTGTTATTGTGAACTGCATGTTTTTCCATTTCTTAGAGAAACTTGTACGTGAAAAGGGATTATTTTGAACCGCAACATCTAGTGAGAATAATGTTCTTTGTTTCATAGAAAAAATTACAAATTAGGTATAAAAAAAAAGGTTTAACCAAGAGTAGCTTAACTAACTACAAGCACAACCATTAGAAGCATCAGTACTAATACTCAGTTGAGGCTTCTTCCATTTTTCTCATCTTCACCTCATTGAGCACATTTCTTGCCCACTCTACGGAAAATGAAGAGCAACGGTAGGACTCTTCGAGGCCAGTGGGAATATGCAGAAGGGACTTTGGAATGGAGGATGGAAAATTAACTAAGTCTTGCTAAGGCATGACCCAATTTGAGGATAAAGACAAAAGACAGGCTGGAGTTAGTACAGAGACCTTTATAATTACTCTCTATTTGGGTCATTTAAAGAAATACGTACACTTAGTAACAGAACCGAAAGAATAAGGATTAGGGATCATGATCCATAAAGGAACATGGGCCCTGACTCATCTTAGTCAGAGGCCCAACATATACAATCTGAATGACCTAGGACTATAAAGAGGTGGCAAAGGCAAAAGGGATAAGACACAAGGAATTCGGGCTCTGACAATACTCCAAACTTCGTCTTCTCTACCATCATCTCAGTCCTTAGATTGGGCTGGTTTTCTCTCCCTCAATCCACTCTTATGTATTCAATCCTCGCATTATTTTAGTGGTATTTTCCAGATATTTTTATATCTTAACTCAACTCAAAAAATAGGTACATACAATCATCAACATAGTCCTGACAACACCATTTGTTATTGTGAATTGTATATCCATTTCTTAGAGAAACTTGTACATGAAAAGGGATTTGCATGTTTTGAACTGCAACATCTGTAGTGAAAATAATGTTCTTTGTTTCATAGAAAAAATTACAAATTAAGCAAAAAAAATTATTTTTAACCAAGAGCAACTTAACTAACTACAAGCACATCCATTGTACGAGATCTGGTCAAAGATTTTACTAATCCGAAAAACTAAGCAACCTAAAGAACCCGAAATATATAATAGTTTATAACTTTTAGTATATTTTTAAGGTTATACATATATATGTAAAATAAAGTTAAAATTAAATTACTTATAGTAACATCAACCATGGATTCATTGGCATTCACCTAATTTTGACATGATTACTTTAATATTTTAAAGATTAAAAAACAATTTTTTTGTTAAGGAACCAAAATAATAAAGAATATAAAGATGTTTAGTTATATAATTTAACATTTTATTTTATTGGTTATTAAAATTTAAAATGACCCGAGAAATTCAAAAATTCCGTGAAACCTGTTCTGCCTTTAGCCCAGGCGAGACACACTGCATGGCATGTGTTTGAGAGATGGTTTGCAGAATGTTCCACACAAGTGCCTAGTGTTGTAAAAAAATGTGGAGTAGTTTAGAATATTAGAAACTCTTGTATTGGTTTAAATATTTAAGATATTTGGTGGAGAATTTAGAGAGTATATATCCTAACATTCATCATAAAGACGGCCTATAAATAGATGAGAGGCTCTCACTTGTTGTCCAAGTTATTGTTGTAATCAATAGTGTTATATTAGGTGTTAGATTACGAGTGTTAGTCTTAGTCTTTTAAATAGTTTAATTTTGTTTAGTAAAAAAAATATGAAATTTTTTTTTTCAATTTTTGAAATCCATTATTGTTTAGAAATCCATTGTCTAATGATTTCTTATATAGATGGGTGTGGTGGAATAGTATCATACATTCTTATATAGATGGGTGTGGTGGAATAGTATCATACATTGTTTCTCCTTTTTTTTTTTTATTTAACAAAAATCTCTGGATTGTAAATGTAAAAACAAAGTCAAGAAAAAAACCAAATCCCCCACCACCTCTCCAGTTGCTCAATGTCACCAGGATTTTAATTGTAAATAGTCATAACCATATGACAAATAAAGAGAGTTGATTACTTGTTAAAAAAAATAATAAATAGCTTCAGAAATTTACTCTAAAAGTTAAACATACACTCCTTTCTCTTTTTTTTAGACACACCCCCCACAAAAATATGGAATTGTTTATAATACAGGGAACCAGTGAACCACAATCATTTGCTTCTTGAAAGGCGAAAAAAAAAAAAATCTTTTAAATGTCCATAAGTACAGAGAACCACAATCATTTGCTTCTTATATGTCCTTTTCTCTAAGCCAATTTAAATGTCATTTCCCTCTTATTTGGATCATTTTCAAATAAGAGGCTTATGTTGGATTACGTTGGATATAGTTTCAAATTAAGGACATTTAAGAAGCAAATGATTGGGGTGGATGTGGATGATGTCACCTCTGCCCATTGTGGATAATTTATTTTTTATTTTGAAAAAAAATTTAAAATATTCCGGAGTATATTGCACCTGGTTCTCTTAGTCGTTGAATATGGTGGTAAGGCCCACCTGATAAACAGTCTAACAACTGGGATACCTCGGGTATGGTAAGCCGAGAATGATCCTGTGTTTAGAAAATAGAAATATTCCAAGCAGAGTGTGACAATAGAGAATGGGGACCGACAGGAGATGGGTAGGAAATTAAGAGTGCTCTTCAGGGTGTATGAGGTTATAAGCCTGTTGTAGATGCAGTCCAAATAGGAACATCATGGGAGGATGGGATGGATGGAGAAATGTTAGCTAATCCAGGGATGAAGGGAGTGATTAGGATGAATCAGTAATGAAAGCACTGGCAATCAAATAGGCAATAGTCCAGCTGATACAAGCACTCATATCTAAAAGTGTTCGGAAAATATATATATATATATATATAGGTAATTACAGTGTGGGCCAATTGGCCAAACATCCCTTAGGGAAAACAGCTCAATTTTGGGCAAAACAAAAGGCCCAGGCCCTGTACCTTCCAAACCTAACACTAAACAAAAACTAAAAACCTGAATTAACAGAATGTAACTGCCTTTAATGGAGGTTATTAGTCGATCAATCCGGTGAGAGCTCTAGGACATGGATTCCGGCGAGGTTGCCGGCATTTCTTCAATCTGGAGGGCGTGGTGGAGGGCAACAACACGAGGAGGAGATGTTCCATTCTGGATTTGTTACAGTCTTGAAGGAAGCCAAGCTTAAGAATTGCAGTAATGGTGGAGCAGACTCGAGCAAGCACTGCCCCTGAAAAGAACTCTTCTTCTTGAATATTCTTTCGTTCCTTTCTTCCCAAGTGTGGTATACTATAACAGAGAAACATATCTTCCTAAACAGGTTCGGCACTGATTTTGCTTTCCATCTTTTTTTTTTCTTTTTTTTTTTTAGTTAGTACTCACACACACATGTCTATACTGAGACTTGAACCCCTGACCTCTATTTGAGAAGTAAGAGGCTGATACCGCTAGGCCAATAGCCCATTGGTTACTTTGCCATCTTTCACTGATGCATTGTATGAGTTCCTCCCAATTTGTGATTGTTGAGTAAAATTGGCATTTATCCTTCATAAATCGCCAAATTGGAGAGGTAAAGGTGCATTTAAAAAAGAGGTGTTCACGTGACTCAGGATGTGTTTGACAGAGAGGGAAGATATTGAGATAATTTCTCATTGATTTGCTAGCTAATGTTGGCAATCTTGCACAGCTAGCCATAGATTTAGCTTCATTCTAGGGATTATTGGTGAACACCAGACCAGATTGTGCCATTGGACATGGGGGTAGTGTCCTGCAAGGAAAGCAGCTGTGCGTCCAAGATTAAACACTCTTGTTGGGGATGCAATCCATCTTTTTCTTGTCTCTCCTTGATGGAACTGGAGGCTGCAGTTGTAGTAACTCAGGTATTGTTGCTGTGATAGATAATGGGAAGGACCAAGCTGAATCAACAATGAAATTGTCCACTGTGGTAGCTTGGTTGAGGCCTGCCTGAGTGAGGATTGATAAGGGAAATCTAGTGCATGGTGGCCCAATTATCCAACCAAAAACAGCCACTTTCCACTTCAATCACCAAAAAAGGCCTGAAAACATCATGTGTTATTGTGAACTGCTTTTCCATTTCTTAGAGAAACTTGTACATGAAGAGGGATTATTTTGAACTGCAACATCTAGTGAGAATAATGTTCTTTGTTTCATAGAAAAAATTACAAATTAAGCAAGAAAAAAAATAGGTTTAACCAAGAGCAGCTTAACTAACTACAAGCACAGCCATTAGAAGCATCAGTACTAGTACTCTTCCTTGACGCTTCTTCCATTTTTCTCATCTTCACCTCATTGAGCACATTTCTTGCCCACTCTGCGAAAAATGTCTCGTTGTATCCAATCATACCACTTTTGTAAATGGACATGCAGCGTCGATCATCTTCCAGGTAGGGGCAGTGGTCACCGTTAGGGTCACGCCATGCGCCTTGGTGTCTCATCCCGGACCAGCTAGCGATCCAGTGGTAGACAAACTGACCCACACCAGCGAGTTTCAACCAACCCTTTGGGAAGAACTCCATAACACTGCTGTTTCTGTCCATAAAGAACATGTTGGTCAATTGAGCCCCATGTGGTGATATCAAAATGTCTGTTAAACTCATCAGCTTCACCTGAGTGCCATTAATTTGCAACAATGTCAGTTTCTCCTTTTAGGAAATAGCTAGTAGTGAGAACTATTATGAGACTTGTTCTATTTAGTGTAGAAACTTCCAAATTTGATTCATATTTGTTTTGTCCACACAGCTAATCATGTATAAGAAATGCATTCACATCTAGTTAGTTAAGTAATATAAATGTTAAAAAATAATCTAAAGCAATGCATTCCAAATAAATTGAAGAGTTTTTTTTTTTTTTTTTAATAAAAGAAGTACATACTCTGAGTCATTGAATGAGGTGGTATAAACTTCTCTATTGTGGATGAGAATTCGAGCTCAATAGTGAACTCTATGTGGGTGTCAATTTATTAAACCAAACATATATATACTAATTAACCAACGGGTCAATAGCCTAGTAGTATCAATCTCTTACCTTTCAAAAAGAGATCAGGAGTTCAAATCTCAGTAGAGACAAGTGTGTGTGAATACCAACTAAAAAAAATAAAATATATATATATATATATATAATTATGTGATTATATGATAAGTGAACACTACATGTATGTCAATTAGTCAAACCATACACAAATACAATAATGTGATTATATGGTAAGTGTTGATCCATTTTCTTTTATGTCACTATGATTTAAGAGAAATTATTTGTTACAGCGATGATTATAAATATTTCATCAAAGTCCATATATTATTATTATTTTTTTTATTCTATTGTAAGTTCACTTTGTCTTTGTGAAGTGTTTGCAACCGTTCTTTACACCATGTCATCGTTGTAACCATGACAATGAATAATTTCTACAAACATTCTATCAAAGTACATATATCAGCTTTTTAATTTTATTGTAAGTTTACTTTACTTTAACGAAGTATTTGTAACCGTTCGTCGTTGCAACAATGACAATAAATAATTTCTCCAGATTTAGTATTCCACATACAGATATATTATTGAAATCTAACAAGTTAGTGCTTGACAAACCATGTCTAGAATCTAGATGGATCACTCCTTCCAAATTAGGATAAAAAAAAATAACCAAGAAACAAGAGATAGTGGCAACACCACAACCATCCACAACATCACCTCCCTCACGCCTACTTTTCATGCATAAATAAATACATACTGTATATATAAATAAACCTAGCTACATATTTATACATGCACTTCTTTAATAAATGAATTATTTTTTTAAAAAAAAAGAAGATAAAAAACAATTGACATGCAAACCTGTTCACAGAAGGTGAGATTATTGGAGTAAGCCACCATTAACCGGCAACCTTCTACCTTCCCACACTCCCTCTCAAAGATCCCAACCACAGCAGACTCATTCCTGAATGACCTAGCCCCAGTCCTCATAAACATGGTCATCCCAATCACCGGCAAACCCCGGTTACTAACCTCCGCATCCCTACCCTCCAGGCTCACGTTACAGTACGCCCTCGCCTTACACCTCATCACATCATACACCTCCACCCTCCTCTCCCTAGACATCCCTCCCTCATTGTGCCTCATCACCACTGCCTCCTCAAAACAAACGGGCCCACCACCGCCACCAACATGATTATCATGATCAAACCCTTCAATGTAGAGGGGCCCACCAAAAGTGGCCTCCGTTAGGGTTCTCAGCCAAGGGCTCATTTTAGTCCTCAACTCACCCCAGTGGTATAAAATCCACCGGGAGGGCAGTGCGCACCCATGCCTCACATGCCAACTCACAAAGGGCACCATAGCTGACAAACCATGCCATATATTATCATAGTTATAGTGATTATATGACACAAAAGTGAGGCCCTTCACGAGGGTGGCATTGTGGGGTAGTGATTCAGGCCATGCAAGTGCATAGGAGTTCCATGCACCATCATGAGTGTCACTCCCATTGATGCAAAGTAACCTACCATTTGAGGACTTCGATGGGAAGTGTTGGTATTGGACCTCACCCTCTTGGTCTTGCTTGTCATACATGGAGCTCATGAACCATGTGTGTCCTTGTTGGGCTGTTTGGGTGTATCTTAGGTCTTTTAGGGGGAGGAAAGTGACAGCGCGGCGGAGTTTCGAGGCCATGGAATTTAGGTCATGGGTGCAAGTGATGTTGTTGTTGTTGAGGATGACCCTTTCCCATTGGTGCATTAAAGTCCATGGAGATGAAGGTGGTGGGGTTTGGAGGGATTGGATTTGGTACAGGATGAAGAGGGTGGCACAGGTGAAGAGGAGGTAGAGAGAGAGTTTTGGGGAGTAGAGAGAGGACATTGTGGGACGTTGGTGGTGGTGACCGTGGTGGTGGTGTTTGGAATGGTGAAATTTGTTGGTGGGCATGGAATTTGTGGTTGTCTCTAGTTGTGTGTGTGTGTGATTTCTTTTAAGAGGAGTTTGGATGAAGTGGGGATATGAGTTGTCCAAATATTCTAGTTCTGAAAAACTTGTGAAGGCAAAAGATAAATTGAGGTGAGAGGAAAGGTGATAAGAAAGAGAACAAAATGAACAATAAAAAGAATGAAAAAAAGGGTAATGGCCCATTGTGAAGCTAGCTGGTTGGCTAGTTGAGGTAGGCAAGGTGTACATGAAATGAGTTTGGTCAGACTCCAAACATTAATTTGGCAAGTAAAAATATTGGTAATGGACCAGTTGATGACAAGTTTGATACCTAAAAAATAAGGATGATGATATATCCACTTATGCAAAAAAGTTGCCATTATTACATTTAAATGGTACTAATGGTTCATATTTATTATTTGATAGAGTTAAAGTCTCATAATTTCGAAAAAATGAAGACATGAAAAAAACATATTTATCTTCATATAGGTATCACATTTAGGCACATAGATACCACTTTTTATGCATGCAGGTACTATTTTTTGTCATTAGGTACCACTTTTTGTGGTACACAAAAAAAGTAATATTTGATACACAAAAAGTGGTACCTCTATGCCCAAAACAAAAGTGATACCTGATGCACAAAAAGTAGTATTTGTGTGCACAAAAAGCTGTCCCTCTACGAGAGTGAACAATATTTCTCTATGTCCTCAACTCCATTTTTTCAAAACTATGAGACTTTGACTCCATCAAATAATAAATATAGGCCATTAGCACCATTTATATGTAAAAATCTCTAAAAAGTTCCTATAACTAGGGTTTAGATATAGGATCGATAGATAGACGTGACAATCATTAAGAAAACACTATAAAAGAAAGTAGATTATATTTTCATCTAATATTTGACCGGAAGTTTTTGGTCGGATACGATGAGAAAAATAAGTGCAGATGGTTTGAACATATGCAAAGAAGATTTAGAAAAAATGACATAGTAATGTGAAGATAAATAATATTAGGGGAAGAAGAAAAACAAAAGTTAATGAGAAAGATATGATAGCATAGGAATTGACTGAGAATGTGGTCTTAAGTAGTCTCAAATGAAAACATGATATTGACGTGGTTTCAAATAATTGAAAAATAACTTAATTGTTATTATTATATTGAGTAAAAGTTCATGTTGGGCACTATTATCAAAGTCGAACACAATTTGTATCATAATTTGGAAAAATAAATCAAGCCATTGGAGTATATTATATATATGTGTGTGCGCGCGCGGGCGTATTATGGACTACTATCATTTATCTTCATATTATATATATGTTTACGACAGTATCGGGAGGATAGCTTTCTTTTTTCTTTTAGTTTTTCTTTAAGCTGAGAAAGTGTTGAGTGAAGGAGTGAAAAAGGCTCCCCATTTTCATGCTCTGAATTCTATGATGGAATTGATTAACTAATTAAAAAAGGAGCTAATTCACTTCACTGGACAAGTGTTTCAATCCTCTCTCTATATATATATATAGATATGCATCTTCTTAGGCGTGTGGGCACGTGAAAGCTGCTTGCTTCTCGCATTAACTCGAAACGGAAGGGAAAGAGAGAGAGAGAGAGAGAGAGAGAATTTTAATTAGGGTAAGCATTCCTTTTTTTATACACCAATATTACTATGCATGCAATTTCAGGAGTTAATTCCTTGCAAAATAGGTGAAAAATAAAGAGTTGAATCAAACATATTAATTTTTTCTGTAGTGTGAATATAGCTTCTTATTTTATAAGAATGAAGAAAAAATTGCACATATTAACTATTAATTTATTGTCTTTTCTTTTCAATAAATTGCTTTATTTTAATATATATATATATATATTAATTTCTCATTTATTCAGATGTTGACTAAATTTTATAAAACAAATTAAAAAATTCACTTCTTCCATAATATCTTTTTTAAATGTGACCATACAATAGTGTAACCGTTAATATTCCTTATATTTAATATTGTTTCTATCTCTTTTCATTTATAATTTTTTGATATATATATATATATATATGTATATGTATATATATTAATTATACTAAAATAGTTATAGAAAAATGATGTTTACACTATTGTATGGTCACATTTAAAAAAGATATCCTTATATTTAATATTGTTGCTATCTCTTTTCATTTATAATTTTTTAATATATATATGTACGCATATATATTAATTATACTAAAATAGTTATAGAAAAATAATAAATCGTTCGAATTTTAAGGATATTCAGGAAAATAAATAAATAAATAAATTTATGTCGATTGAGTATTGTTGGTGAAGATGTAAGTCTCACTGCATGATGTTATATGATAGAATTTAAACTCTATTCATATATACTTATGTTTTATGTTCACCGTCTTTCGAATTTAGAGAATGTATCATTTCTGAATTATTAGTTTTTGTTTTCCTCACCCTAAGGAGAGATCACACACGCAGCATTCACTCACAAACTTTCACCATTACAACCGTTGTCTCACGTGAACCAACCTAAGTCTGCTTAAGCTTGTGAAACTTTTCCAATTCAAATTTTGGGTAAGCATTTCATGTGACACACTGCCTCTATGATTCTTTTTCGTGGAGCATGCAAAGAATCGATAAATGATATATATTGCCATCACACGATATGACGGTCACATAAATAATATATAGAGTCACACAGGTCATTTGTGACCGATATGTTGTTATAATTATTTGTATTCGTTAATTCGAGTGGTTGAAAGAACCAATGCATGCCTCGAGGGGGCAAATGCTGTTTTTTTACATGAAAAATCATATAACACCTCCCTCCCCTAAAATTTTTATTTTCCATCTATTTCTTTCGATTTGAAGAATTTATATTTGTTGTAATGTTCGTTAAATTATTTATTATTATTATTTTAAATTTTTTTTTTTTTTTGTTATACTTTACCCCTTCATTGAATTTCTAGCTCTGCCCGGGCAATAAGGGCAGCTAAATTTTTGAGGAGCGGATAAACCACATAGTAAGAAAATAAAGGAAAGGAAACCAATGTTAGCTGAGAGCTTAAGTTAGTTTATGTATGCAGACATTTTAGTGTTTGCTTTGGGAACTCATCCAGCTTCCTTCAACTCCCAAAAAAAAAAAAAAAAAAAAAAAAAAAGAAAAAAAAAAAACTATCCATTTCACAAACACAGCACTCAGATCCCAAAGTTTGATTTACATTTCCGGATCCATTCCCGAAATTTAAGTAACACTAGGGCTATGTTTGTTTCGACGTAAAATACTCGTTCTGAAATTTTTTTTTCAGATAAAATATTCTTTTATTTTTATTTTGGAGGTGTTTCACAAAAGTCTACGTCGAGGTTGAGGCCGAATCCATCAAACGGGGCATATAAAATAACTTGCCGAAAAATTTATGAATAAATTACTTTTGTTAAATTTTAATATTTTTTTTCTTTATAAATATTTTATGACAACCAAACACCAAAAAATAAAAAAATATTATCTGAAAAATATTTTATGTCCAAACAAACGGAGCCTAGATCTCCCCTGTTTGGATTTTTTTTTTTTTTGGGTCATTGACAAATTGAGGGAGACTAGCTGGCGCTCTACCAGCTGAATTATGATCCAGTACAAAGCAAAAAATAAAAAAAAAAAAAATGATACGATTTCATGTATGCATGTGTAGGCGTAAATATATTCTCTAGGCTGGTATAGAGACTAGTTACAGTGCATAGTTTGAAACATGGCAAACCCTCAAAATGCCCAGTTCTTACCATCTATGATATGACTTCGTTGAGAGTTCGAGTACTGTTAGAGATAATATTGTGAACTAGTGTATGTTTACCTGAACATTCGAAGAAGAAGAAGAAGAAGAAGAAAAAAAAAAAAAAAAAAAAAATCAATACTCACAATATATGTAGATGTGTAAAAGTATATATACAGTTATTCAAAATTTCCGATAAAAAATACAATATATTACAAGGTCAATGGCAGTTGTAGGAGAGGTCAAGACCTGAATTTCTGAACCAAAAGGATCAAATTATGTATCCCAAGAGTGATGATCAAGGCTTATCTACATCCTTCAATGCCATTCTGATTAGGTTAATGTTATAATCCAAGAATAATAACATTGCATGGTTAGAATTTGCGTACTCAAATATATATCATGTTTGAATTTGATAAAAAAATATATTGTTCAAATAAGCCTTTCATCTTCTTCCTAAGTTACTGCATTGGTTCAAGGATAGGGAATATTCAGCTAAAGTGAATCCAACAGCATTAGGAAATTACAGCACAACCAACAGCATTGTCACTCATCATTTCCACAAATTTCATCTGCAGAATTACAGTACATACCATCCAGATAGACACATCCCCCAGCAAGAACAATATTACAAGAACACAAAGGAGAGACCTAATAACCGTAGAACCGGAAAAACACGTTTCTCTGGTGACTTGGGTATTTTGTTGCCGGCAAGATGTATAAGAACTCAAAAAGCTCAGCCACATACTAACCAAACTGAACATATTTCCACAAGTAACTTGTCAAGCAGGATGAAAATAAAATTACATTTATAGATATATATATATATATATTAAAAAAATAAAGCAGTTCGCATTTGAGAAAAACTTACTAACACTAGAGATATTAAAGAATATATGGGGTGATGAGGCCTATGAGAATGCATGCAATGCCTGACATTGAATGAAGAACTAGGGACATGCAAAACAATTGATAAATTGCACTAATATAACACACTCTGATGGTCACAAAAATAATATTTGTCGTCCGAAGTCTGAACAGCCGAAAAAGAGAGGGGGAGTGTGGGCCCCACCCTACTTCAACCTCGACATCAAATTCAATTATTGATTAGTGGTAGAAATGAAAAAGTCCTGCTATAGTGTGAAATGTCAAGCAGATGGGTAAATTAGGGCTATTAAATTTTGGAGGAACAGATGCACCACACAGTGAGAAAACAAAGAAAAGGAAAGCTAGCTGAAAGCTTAAGCTACTTATATTACTTGTACAGATTTCTATATTAGTATTGCTTTGGTATCCCATACAGCATTTCTTCAAATCCAGGAAAAGCTATGCGTTCTTAAAACAAAGCACTCAGATCCCAAAGTTCAATAATATTCCCCATTTTAAGTAGCACTAGGCCCGTTGATCCCATAGTGTAAATAAAAAGAGATTTAACAAAATTAATGTAATGATAATAAGGAGGCATGGAAACATGTGAATTAATTCAATTATGATCCAATACAAAACAAGAAAAGTGATGGGTTTTCATGCAATGGACCAAATAAAAGAGAGTTGAGATGAGCTGCTTTTATTTTTTTTTAATTTTTTTTATTTTTTTTGTGACTAAGGAAAATGTCAGAATCAACTAGATGTAGTCTCCCCAGACCGCAATGGCGAGAGCGTCATGCGCTGGGTTTACCCTTTTATGCGTGCGTGTTGCAAGTGTGTGCACGTGCACAGACATAGAGACTGTAGTTACAGTGCATAGTATGAAGGTGGCAAACCCTATGAGGTAGGCATCATGCACTTACCATCTACCAAGGGGCATTACCCCATATGGTATGACCTCGTTGAGAGAGGCAAAAATAAATAAATAAAATAAAAACCAGTACTTGCAATATTTGGGTACATATATAGTCAAGGGACATTATATGTAAATTTCCAAGATTTTATGAACCCATCTGTGTGGATTTGTGCAAGTATTCAACAGTAATTCAAAATTTCTGATAAAAATAAATAATATGACAAGATCAATAGCAGTGGTTCAAGAGGTCATGACCTGAATTTCTGAACCAAAAGGATCACATTATGTATCCCAAGTGTGATGATGAAGGTTTATCTACATCCTTCAATATCATTTTGATTAGGTTAATGTTGTAATCCAAATATGCATACATGAATAACACAATATTGCAAGGTTAGAGCAAGTGCTAGATGCAAAGAGGTCTATGACAGATCATTTGATGGAAAATGGACGGTTTTTCTATATTAGAGAAGGCTCTATGAGTAAAGGAAAGTGCATGACCGTTGCATCATTCCACACAAGAATTCTGTTCGTTCAAATTTGTCCTGTTTGAGCTTGTCGATCATTTCAAGATCAAAACTTCATCTTTAATTCATTAATACGAAAATATTGTATTCAAAAGGTTAAGAGGAAATGAATCAGCTCAAGTGACTCCAAACTCAAAATTTATTCAGGACTTGAGTATGTTTTTGATCATTCAAGTAAAGTCAGCCACTTTAAAAGATGTTCAGGGAAGATGTTGGGTCATACTTTCAAAACCCTTGGTGTATGTTTGATTTAGTTTTCATTTTTCAAAGAACAAAATAAATAAATAATAAAAAAATCCAAGGACAAAAGACAGTTTTCAAGTGAACAAAATAAATAAATTATACAAGGGGAATTGGCTCGTACCAACTCTCACACAAAGGAAAACTGGGACCCACAAAAAGTTATGGTCACACAACTCGCTGGTGACAGTCGCACAAGCCAAGTGGGCTTGCTATCAATGTAAAGAAAAGAAAAGAAAGAAAGAAAGAAAATGTTCTTAAATCAAGAAATTCTTTCAACTGTTTGTGAGAGAGCCGCACAACCCAAGTCAACCAAATGACTTTTTAAACTCTTTTCCATTTTCTGTTAGAATAAAACACTGTTTCAGGAAACTGAACGAATAACCCCTTATATCTCCCAATTTTTCACTAACAGTGGCCCTACCAAGCTTAGTGTTGTTTAGATGGTGTCTAAAGCAATTGTTGGTCCATTATTGGACATGTCAAAACTTTATCACTGATTATAAAGATGCAGTACAATAAATAATTTGTACATTAAGAAATTACAATACAACCAACTGCATTGTCACTCGTGATTTCTACAAATTTCATCTGCAGAATCACAGTACATACCTTCCGTATACACACAAAATAACCACCTCTTTGGTCACACTATCTAGTTGCGGGAAACATTAACAGCTTTGGAGTGATTCCTAAAGGGGGGACACGAGAAGTCAAATTCATATGGATATAGAGAAGCAAATACAATAATTTTTGAAAGGTAGGGATTTCCATCCTTTATCAAGATTAACATTACAAATTGGCCTCACTCCTGTCTTGTAGGCATTATGTAATTCAACAAATTTTGAATGCCAATGAGAAAAGTTACATCATTTTTTACACTAAGAGTAACAGTTCATTAGCTACTGAAATAACCAGAGCAATAGACTGAACAGGGAAGGCAACAAGGAAGCCATCAATCAAAATTTTAGGTCATGAATTCCGCATTCCAAGGACATGGAGAAAAAAAAAAAAAAAAAGCAAAGAGCAGCAAGACTTACCTGATACTGTTTGGAAACTGCAATCAAGTTTTGAGATTTATTGCTAATATTACAAGCACATTTATTCTCTCCCTATCGTCCAAGCACCATAATATTGCTCTCATGGGCATTGTTCTCAAACCACCTGAAACTCAAGCATGCTCTTACTTCGACTAGTCAATGGTATCATAGCCCTTCTCTGTCAGAAGTATATGAAAAGTTTCGGCTGTTTCTGTCAACCCAGTATCTGCAAATGCTTTTAAAATCCTATTACAGATGGAGTGATCAAAATCTGTGGTGGTGGATTGCTTCCATTGGTCAATAACTTCTCCTACCTCCTTTATATGCCCAAGCATCAGATATGAAGAAAGGATACATATATAATTTCTACTTGTCATTTTCTGTTTGGTCATTCTCAATGATTTCCAAATTTGATCAAGTTTGTCTTTGTTTCCCAAACCAGCGTACAGAATAATTAGAAAGTCATAGGTTATCCATTCTCGTTGTGTAATACCCTTTTCACTTTCAACCAGAGAGTTGGACTCTGAATTTACAAGATGACCAGACGTAAGATATACGTTGGCAAGGTTCATGTACCTTATCCAATCTTCATTAGAACCAGAGTCGCAACTCATTTCATCAAGAATCCTTCTAGCTCCATCAATGTCCAGAGTTGCAGCACATGAACTTATCCAGAGATTGTAGGTAAATAAGTCTGGTGCAACCTTCTGGCGTTTCAGTTCTTCAACAACAAAAGAAACCTTCTCCACCTGCCCAACTGACATGTACAAGGTCATTATTTCATTGTATGTAAGGGCACTCAAAGGCAGGTTTGATCCCTTTGCTCTCTCATAGAGTTCCTCTGCCTTTTCAACCAGTTTTGCTCCAGCATAACAGTGGATGAGAGCAGTGTAGGTTTCACTAGTTTTTGCACCAAGAGGTAGTCCGTCAAAGTAACGTTCAGCAGCATCAATACCAAAAACTTTTGTCATCAAATCGATCCGGCATGCATAGTCAGTGTCTGACATCTGAGACTCTCCATGAGCAACCATCCACTCTGATATCTGCAAGTAGACCAGATACATAACAGTGTCACTGTTCCAATCAACATGTACAACAAAAGATAATACATGACCCCACCCCCCCCCCCCCCCCCCCCCCCCCCCCGAGAGAGCTTGAAAAACTTTGATTCCAAACTAATGCTTCACTTGATTGCTGAGAATTAAATAAATCATTATGAATAATCAAATAATCAAGCAATTCCTGCATAACAATGTGATCAGATGGTCTAGCATTTTTAATCAAGGTCTTTTGTAAATTTTAAATATTCAGACAAACAAATATAAATAGCTCAAAAATTATCTTCTTATTAAACTTGTCCTTTCTATATTTGCTCTTTATTTTTGGTGGGGCTGGGGGAAGAGATCATGTTTGCACATGATGGTGTGACCTCAAACATCAATAACAATTAAATGGTCGGTCTTATTCGACTTGAATTAATACTTGGGATAAGTAATAAACAGTTCTGATTTTTTATGTTTTTTGCACCACGGATTTGGCTCTATTTAATTTGAGCAAAAGTGTTATGGAGAATAAAAAGAATGATTGAGGGAACATACCTGTACAACTTTGATCATTCCTCTGATTTTGAGAGAGGAAATAAGAGGCCGAAACGTTCAGGGATAAAAGGTAGGATCACTCTCTTTGTGCATGTGCATGTGCATGTCTTGGAATGAAGGGTTCAGGGAGAGAAGGAGAAACCTCTCCACTCCAAAGAATCTTTAAAACAAACTATACCCGTCTAGCAAATTGGATAGAAGGTATGAGCCCCAAATTTCTATTCTTTTTCTTAAAATAGCGAATTTTATGTTGTAGCATATTCAACCAAATTCAATAAATAACATTTGATATTGAATGATCACTTCAAGACGATTCTGGGAAGAACCTTGCTGGAAGAAGAGAAAGCTCAAACAGGTCCACAACATATCACTGATTGGACTTCAGGTAATGTTTAGTTCACTAATTTAGTGAATAATAAAAGAAACAATATAAGGAAAATCATTTTTCCATATTCTAACCGAAAAAATAATAATAATTAAAATATAAAATAATAAAAAAACCCAGAAGAAGAAATATGACAAAGGAAAAGTGAAAAGGGCTACCACTCTGTGCAAATCATGCCTACACAATCCGCCCTTCCAACACCCCTGAATAATGGGGACCAACAATGCGTAAAGACACTTTTACATTTAATTTTCCTTTCTTTTTCATGACTTGAATTGAGAAATTATTAATTTTCAGTTTTGTTTAGGCAATAGAGAAATATATTAAAATCATTTTCCTATTTGTTTAACTTTTCGTTACCATTTCCTAGGAGTACCAATTGTGTCTCCATGTCGACATGGATATCCTGTTATATATGGGTCAACACGAACACAACAAGATTATTATTCATGTCGAGGTGGACACGAACACGACACAAATATTAAACGGGTTACAGGATGTAGCCCACGTAACCTGCTTAATAAATGGGTCAAGACCTGATACGACACGACAAGACACATTTAATTAAGATATCATATTATTAGGGTCATTTCTAACACGAACTCGACATGTTTAATTAAACCAGTCATTTCTAACAAGGATACAACACGTTTAATTAATTGGGTCTAATCAAGTTATAAATTGATTGGATAGTAGAACACAATCACACCACATTTGACTAGCGTGTCAATTCAAGGCAACACGATAACAACCCAAACCCAAATCCACTTATCTCATGTCATGTTTGAATCGTGTTAATGTGTCATGGCAGTTGCCACCCCTACCACTTCCTCACTAAACCTGCACATGCACACATGCACGCGCGCACACACATATATATGGCGTGCACAAATTAAGCTAGTTCTGAATGCAGGTGCTTGCAATTCTTCACTTTGGCAAAATTCAGTAATCTACCTTTCCAATTCAAACACCATGTCCTTAAATTAATTATAATTATTAAAATTATTGAGTTCAGTCTAATGTATTCATAACACATTTCTAAATTTTCTTTTTCCATCAAGTTTTGAAGATAACTTACGAGATTGAATCATGAGTAACACTAATATAACAAACTTCTGGACAATAAATAAATAACACATTTCTATATTCATTTAAATAAATAATTATTACTAACTCAGATGCTAGTGCTACTAACTATATGAATTACTGAATTATGAACACAAAGTTATAAACATTATACACTGACCAAAATTATCAAATTTATATCTAAAAACATAAATAGAACATAAACAAAACAGATTAACAACAAATGCATTTTAATTTTTCATTTTTTAAATGAATATAGATAGCTTAACTTATCAAAGAAGAAAATTACAAATAGAAATAGCTTACCCTTTCCAACTTGAGAGTTGTGTTCTCTTTTATGATGCAGAGACAATTTAGTCCTGATTTTGTAAATGTTCTCTTCTATGATGTAACAAACTAACTTCTATATAATTTTATTATCGAACAAGTTCAACATGTACATAATAATAGCATTCATATTCAATAGTAAACAACAACACTATCGTGAACTGGTGGATATCCTATTAAGGCTTCCTCTAAAATGTTAGTATTTGGGGTTCAAATCCATCATACATAGATAACCCAAATAATGGATTTGAGCCATTTCCACAAATCATCATCACCCAAACAAGAGATTTTAAAAATCAGTGGATTTAACATCCATTCTCAAATGCCCCTTGAATTCCTTATACTAGTTGGCTCTCTATTAATGAAAAGCTTGCTTATTTGATATATATATATATATATATCAAATTTTACTTATCAAAAAAAATAATATGTATATATATATATATATATATCAAATCAAATCCAAATTCTCAAAATGAAAGATTTTTTTTCCTTTTATTTGGAGAGCCAAAAGAAATATAACATCTCCTTCATTTTCTTGGCAGCCAAACGGCAGATGATAAAAATTGATAAGAGCTAGAAAGAAACAAAAAAAAAAAAAAAAACCAGGTTCCAAAACAGCATAAGTTCAAGTTTATAACGCAACCCAGTATTATTGGAGGGCCAAAAACAAAAAATAAATTTTACTTCAATTTCTCGACAACCAAACAACACATGATAAAATATATCTATATAGAGAGAGAGGGTGGGGAGAGATGAGACCTCGAGGGCGTGCTTGTAGCGCTGAGACTTTCTGAGCTGTTTAGAGATGTGTCGGAGGTCGTCGACGGCAATTGGGTGGCCTTCGGAGACCCATTTCTGAAGGACGTTTGTGGCGCTACGCTTGGGAAGTCTGAGGCTGAATATTCGGCTCTTCAGATCATCCTTTTCACCACCATCCTCATTTTCCTCTTCCTCCTGTGAACTCCGAGACGACACTTCGTGGACAATTTCGCTTCTTGAAGCGAAAGATGACGAGAGAGATCTCAATTGAGTCCTCCTTTGGCTTCTGCGATTTCTGGGTTTTACAGAAAGAAAGAGACCTAATTGAGTTTGTTAATGAAGTATAGAGAAAGAATCTAGAGAGAGAGAACAAACAAATATGTATATATAGAGAGAGAGTTTGATGAGCATACCGAGTGAGAATGAGGAAGAAGGAGCGAGCGGCCATTGTAACCGTGTTCGTTTTGACCTGATTTCATTTCGTTTTGGCTTTAAAATATCATTACAAAATAAAATGCTCCTATTTTTTTTTTTTCCTGACCCATTAACTCTTATGATATTTTAAAAAGTAAAATAAAATTTGGGAATATGAAATTTTATTGTGCATTTAAATAAGTAGAAGAGGAGGGAATAGGGAAAGATGTGTTGAATTATGTTTCAACTTTCAATAATTAGGAAAGAAAAATAAGGGAAAGCATAATGATTCTTGCATTTAATTGTTAGAATTAGTCTTTTAAAGGGTCAATTATGCCACAAATAAGAAAGTGGAGTCCTCCACTTAGTTGTATTTAGTATAAATAGTCAATTAAAAATTAGGGTGAACTGCAAACAACCCCCTTGACCTTCACCTCCTAGCAAAAAAAACCCCTTAACTATCATAAGGGGTGTATTCTAACTGACATCCATCCAAGTAATTTTTTAGGCATTTTTTTTTTACCAAAGAACCCCTCAATGCTCCACCCATGTTCATTGTTTTTCAGTCCTCCAAACCAGGTCCCGGTGACAAAGAAATCTCACAATTGAAGTGAAAGAAAAGAAATTACCCCGGGGCTACAGTAAGAGAAGAGATCGCCGGAAAATGGGTGGAGCTTCGGCTATTTCTTCCTCTGTTCCTCCAGTTAGGTAGTTGTCATGGAGGATTTATTTAGGGTCAGAGAGACCGAGAGAAGCAGCGGCGCAACCGAGACAAAGGGTGAGGGCACAGAGAAGTCAGTCAACTGACCCTCAAGATTAAGGAGTGAGAGAACCCCACAAGACCAGGCGTCGGCCTTCATGGTGAGTTTCTGGGGTTTGATGTGGCAGCGAGTGATGCCATTCTGGGCATCAACTTCTTCAAGTACAATGGTTCAGGATCCGGCGGGGCATCAATCATGGACGCGAGGTATAGCACGGCGACAGTAGGGTAGAACTTTGGCGATGTACGGGCAGTGAGTTGCGGACCGGATGGTGGAGAGCTTGGCTGCAGCGGTGACGAGCGCTGCTGTGGAAGGCTCTGCTGAAATGATTAGGTGGCCAACGGCAAGCAAAAAGGAGCTCGACAGTGAAAAGAACAACTGGCAAGCTTAGAACTGAATCGACAATGCTTGCGGTGCTGCACCGGCGAGCAAGGAAAAGTCTGCTGACTGCGGCGATGAACTTGTGGCATTGCTCGGAATGGTGAGGTCGGACGGTGGTGAGGACAGGCTGGTTCGTGGAAAGAGCGGCCGGTGGAGACGGGCTTTGGCTATTTCTTCAACAATGAACATTTAGGGGTAATTTGGTAAAAAAAAATTACCTAAAAAATTACTTGGACGGATGTCAGTTAGTATACCCCCTCATGATAATTGGGGGGGGGGGGGGGGGTGTTCTTGCTAAAACAATTGATAAATGGGGTTTTTTGTGAGGAGGTGAAAGTCGAGGGGGGTTATTTGCAGTTTGCCTTAAAAATTATTCTGTTAGAAAATTCACTGCAAGTGTTCGGTGTGAGTATCACTACTCTATTTATATTAGGGTGACAAAATATACTCAAATTCAAAAACTCTCTCAACCTAATTAATAATTATTAATTTTTGAATGACTAGATTAATTGAACAGATTATTAATGAATTAATAGTTAATGAGTAATATATTTATGCTATATTTGGGGTGCAAGGTTGGAATGAAATGCCCATTCCAATCATTCCTTTGTTTGGTATGCAATTTAAAGTAGAAATAACCATTCCATTGGAATGAGAATCCATTCATGAGAATGAAAACCCATTCCATAACTAAACCTATTGAATGACCATTCCATTCCCAAGTAATTTTTTTAAAAAAATTAACTTCCCAAAAAACCTTCATATTCTAAGTCCAAAAACCACCACTACCTCTACCACAACCACCTTCGCTTTTCACCACCACCAACTTCCACCACTACTACCGCTTTCTACCATCACAACCGCCACTGACTTTCATCATCGCCCACCGCTTTCCACCACCACCACTGCCACCGCCTTTCACCATCTACACCATCTTCCTTTACTGCAACCACTACCACCACCACTGCCATCGCTATCGCCTTTCACCACCGCCACCACCTTCTACCACCACTATTGCCACAGCCTTCACCACAACCACCACTGCAACAGCCTTTCTCCGCTGCCACCACCTTCCACCATCACCACCGCCACCGCCATCGCCTTTAACCACCGCTACTGCCTTCCACCGGCACCGCCACCGCCTTTAACCACCGCTACTGCATTCCACCGCCACCATCACCACCATTGTCTTTCACTTGCACTACCACCTTCCACCTTCCACCATCGCTGCCACCTTCCACCATCGCCACCACCTTCCACCACCACCAGTGCCATCGCCTTCCACCACTGCCACCACCTTCCATCACCACCAATGTTATCGCTTTTCACCACCACCACTTTTCACCACCACAAGGGCCACCGCCTTCCACCACCACAAGCGCCACCGCCTTCAACCACCGTCACCACCTTCCACCACCACAAGCGCCACCGCCTTCAACCACCGTCACCACCTTCCACCACCACAAGCGCCACCGCCTTCAACCACCGTCACCACCTTCCACCACCACAAGCGCCACCGCCTCCAACCACCGTCATCGTCTTCCATCACCAGCACCACTACCTTCCACCAGCGCCACCACTTTCCACCACCACCACCGCTACCACCTTTCACCACCACCGCTACCGCCTTCCACCACCACTGTCACTACTCCACTTCTTTCCACCACCGCCAACTCCACTACCTTCCACCACCACCACACTACTGCCGCCGCCTTCCACCAGTACCACTGCCACTTTCCACCAACACTGCCGCTGCCACCTTCCCTATTGCCACCACTGTCGCCTTCCAACACCACTACCGCTTTCTACCTCCACCACCATCGCCACTATCACCATTTATTTTAAAAAATTATAAAAGAATGTCATTTTGTTAATTTAATTTGTTTGTTACTAAGGGGATATTTTGGAGAACTTAATTTGAAATTTATTTCATTCTAAATTTTAAATTGGTCCAACCAAACACTAGAATGGTTATTATCTTTTCATAGTTACACATTTCATATTTACAACCAAACAATAAAATGAGAATGGTCATTCCATTCCATTCCCAATCTCATTCCATTCTCAATTGCATTCCATTCCATTCATGCACACCAAACGCAATATTAGTGGATTAAGAATGGGTATTCGATCCTAATCCACCACACATAATACTTCTATATCTTTTTTCCCTCTATCTTCCTATCTCTCTGTCCCTTATTTTTTCTCTCATCTCTTTCTTTCACCTCTCTTTTTCCCTCTCGTCTCTCTATCTCTCTCTTTGTTTTTCTCTCCTTTCATTATTCGCAAACAATACTTGGGTCTTTTCTAGGAGGAAGAAGGTCATCTTCCCATCTAATGTGGCCTAATCATATCAAAACACCTGTTCAAAATATTTTAAAAACTTAAAAATGGGCATTACCCATTTTGTACGAGTTAAAACATGGTTTTTTTTTTTTTTTTTTTTTTTTTTTTTTTTTTTTTTTTTTTGTGCATTCTCTCTTTCTATAATGACGCTCTTTCATCCTTACCTCCATTGGCAAAACCCTAATTTTGGTTCTTCTCTCTCGTTAACTTTGTAATGTTTTACATTTAACAATGATTATTTATATTCTTCTTGAAGCATGTGTGTTCAAATTGTTGGGATTTTGGTAGAATTTGTGGTCAATTGTATGGCGGGGTGGATAGCTTAATGCACAAGCTAAGGGTTTGATAATGCAATAATAAACTTTAAGGAAAGTAATTGATAAGGAATGAATTGCTTTATACCAACGACAAGTAAGGTATCCAAAGGCGGTAACTTAAAAAATGGAGATCCCGATATGATCCTATGGGGAGATCATACGGTAATCCCAGTGAGATCCTTCAGAAATCCCATAGAAATATTCTGATCAAGAGAGGTAAAATCAAAATAAGTTATAATGGTTTTTGTGTGAAAAAATCCTTTTGTGTGCAATCTTCAAGAGAGATATTTGAAGTTTGTCTTTGAGTGGGTTTTCTTTTTTATGTAAACCATATAATCATTAGGGATTTTTCTTTAGAGCGTTCGGTGAAATTTTCTTCATTTGGTGGGTAACGTTTGATTGTGAGAAGAGGGATTATTGTCTGGAAGACCTAAACCGTTCTTCAATTTGTAATCTTCTTTTATATAGTAATACGGATCATCATCGCCTGTGGACGTAACTGTGATACCCCTCGGATCCGAGACACGGGTTGATCAGGCCCAGGCCCAAATCCGAGGGAATATCAAACAATTAATATTTTATAATGAACACGAAATACAAAATGAATTAAGAAATGAAATTAAAGCTGAAAGGAACTAAAAATAGAATCCGCAAAATATTATAATTATTAAAATCCATCAAACCCAAACTCCAAAACTCCATCAATTTACAACTCGAGAATCCATCTCTAGTGGACCCCAATTAAACAACCAAACGGAAAATAAAGCAACTGTAATAAGCATTTAGAAATAAACTATGGAGAGAATCCTACATCGTCGGAAGAGTGAATAGAGACCTCTGCTCAGCACGAACACATCTAAGCCTGGAACTGTCATGTACCTGAAAAATAGAAGTGGGTCAAGCCCACGCGTACAATCCAAACAGAGGCCCGATACGCATGTACATCCTAAACAATTCAACAATAGCTAATAGTACGTAAATATATATATAGTCACACTAAAGGACTCTCACTGGACTACAGGCCGATCTCAACCTGAATAGAGGTAACATGCTAAAACGCATACGAAGTGGGCATATGTACCTATACCTAAACAGGGTACACCTCTAACCATCGTATCCAGCTATGCATCCCAATGCATATACGCTTCCTAACCGTCGATCCTGAGACTCAAGCCCATATCGAGGTACCATAACAATATATTTAAAGTCCATCCCGAATCCTAGTAGTGCCGCTCAACTAGTCGTTGCCATGACACTACAATTAATAGGACTTAACCTT